TCCCCCGATCCTTTGTAATTGGGCAAAGTATGGGGTGCCTGGGTGGCTTAGTCGTTAAGCGTCTGCCTTCGGCTCAGGTCCTGATCCCAGGGTCCTGGGATAGAGCCCTGCATCGGGCTCCCTGCTCGGCGGGGACCCTGCTTCTCCCTCTCCCTCTCCCCCTGCTTGTGTTCCCTCTCTCGCTGTGTCTCTCTCTGTCAAATAAATAATAAAATCTTAAAAAAAAAATAATTGGGCAAAGTATTTGTTTTAAAATCTAGCAAATAGGATACAAATTAGACACCCATCAACAATAGCTATAAAAAGAATCATCCCCCCCAAAAAATCAGTATTTCTGTCCAAGTTCACAGAGAATTAAAACAGCTCCTTTTCCTACGAGTTATTTTTCTTTAAACTCGACAGCCGTAACTAAGGGTAAAACAACCATGCCCACCACCTGGGATTCAAGGTTAAACAAACTTCCACCACCCTTGTTTATGTTTTTATCATCAGTTGAGCTTTTTTTTTCTCCAAAGGCCTATAGAAATGGCTGGCAATTTTCAATCATCAAATCAAAGCCCTTTGTCGCCACCGTTTCTTCGGTGTAATGCAAGCTATGCTGTGAGTAATTCGATCAGTCCCGTCATTTCCGTAATTAGAACGAGAGCAGTCTTCCTGAAGTATGTGCTGCAATCGTGGAGTGAAGTCACACAAAAGTGAGTGCACAAAGGCCTTATGTTGTATGGTCCTAAAATAGCTGCTATTTTTAAACATAAATTTATTTACTCACTTACTTACCTCTAGCAGCTTGTCCACCACCCAGCTAGACATATTTACATCTCAGCTCTACATTCGGCTTATCTATCAATGACTAATGAAATGCAAGTCAGGGCATTTCACTTTAAAGACATTAGTTCTGTAATGGGTGGGTTGCGGATACCCACTCATGTGAGGCTTATCCAAATGCTCCTGGGTTTCTCAAGGGCAGAGGAAAAGCAATACTTCAATGCACTGAAATAGTCTCGATTCGTATTATTTATATGCCTGTAGATCCTGATGTGTATGATCACCTCGCTGTGGTAAAAGCCTCATGGGATCCCTGAGATTGTAGAGACCCTAACCCTCATTTAGAAGAGGGCGAACATGTGCGCGGGTGCATTTATCTGAGGCTCTTTTGTGGGGTGGTTTAGATAATGCTGTGCTCTGAGGGAAGACTGGGAGCTCACACTGCATCGAATGTTTTTCTCATTCCACTGTTTTCTAGTGGTTTCCCTGCCCTGGTCCCTGTCCTCTCAACCATCCTCCACATAGTAGTTAGAATAAAGTTCCTCATATGCTTTTGTGGTGTTATTCCTTATTTTCCAGATTATAAAATTTAGACATCTCATCCTTCCTAACAACTGTCTTCCATGCCACAGCAGCCTTGTTTTACTTTAGTGCCTTTGAATTTGCCAAATTAAGCGTCTCATCACTGCTCTGGCAACTTCTTTCTCCTCTTGGCCAACGTGAGCCCCAAGATGGTAATGAAAGCTCCCCTTCTCCAGGCAGTCTTCCCTGGTGATTGGTCTCACCTGGGTCTGAACACCCTCCTCAGTGCATAATCATTTGAACATTTGACAAGTATTTACCTATTTGCAACAATACAAAGAGAAATTTTTAACCCTACTACCCTAACACGACTTTTAAATGTGCTTCAGATTTCTTTCCAATACTTTCTTACCTGCATGTAAACTTTTACATGATTTGATGATAGCTTGTAGGATTTTTTCATTCAATATTATTATTTTTTTTAATTTTAAAGATTTTATTTATTTTTGACAGAGAGAGAGAGCGAAAGCACAAATGGGCGTGGGGGGCAGAGGGAGAAGCAGACTCCCCGCGGAGCAGGGAGCCCCATGTGGGACTCCATCCCAGGACCCTGAGATCATGACCTGAGCTGAAGGCAGACACTTAACTGACTGAGCCACCGAGGTGCCCTCATTCAACATTGTTTTATAACTATTTTTCCAAGTTGCTGCATTACAGTGGTAGTGTGGCATTCTATCTATGGGCAGTGAGTGATGGTAGAGACAGATTAGGATATGCAGCCAACCTATATGTAACTTTGGGCAAGGCAAATAAACCCTATGAGCCTCAGTTTGTTCATCTGTCAAATGGGGGATACAATGTATGTAAAGTGTCTGACATTTGATAAACACTGGCTGTGATTTACTACCCAGCTTGAGCCATATGAGCTTGCTTTTCTGGTTTGTTGCTTTGAAAATTTTCCTGGCTGTTTCTTGGGCAGTTCCGAGACAATTGTGAAGTTCCTCTAAAGATGGAACTTTGATTTGTTTGGCCTAACACTTCCTAGGTCTTTTGTTGATAGACAGAGGTCTGCCTCAATGGACTCTGAATCATACAGTGCTATGGCTGACTGCATTTCTTTCTAAATCATTGTGTTCTTCAAACTGAAACCTGGTCACTAGGTTTCTATGTACTAAGACTCCCAAGCTGAGTTATAAGTCGCTCAAACAGGAAAAGCAGCTCTGGGAGATCCCTATATTTCCTACCTCATTCCTATGCCCTTCTAGCTGAGAAAGTTAGTTTAACCAGTTCTTCATGTTGTTCCCACCTCAATATCTTAGGTCGAAAATCTAGGCCACCTTGGGCAAGCAGACAAAGCTGAGTTTTTGTCTGAAAGGGTTGTGTCCCTTGCAGGGTGTATCTTGCTCAGAGCACTCTAATTTATTTATGGGACTGAAGAGTCGGGGGAAGGGAGTAGAAGGTAGTCTGCCACTCTGACCTAAGTGAAGGCACTTGTTTTTAACGTGATACTGGGGTGGAGGAGCAAAGTGTGGGGGGGCATCCCCACTTATCCTCCTCATTTATATTTTGCTTCCTGATGACCAATCACCAATTACTTAGCAAGACCCCTCCCATTCCTGAGAAAGGTGCACCTGCTTAAAGCTAACATTTTCGTGGCAAGTTTAGGAGATTCAAGTTGGAGTTCTGTTCAGGAATGATGGTGTACCCACATATTCTGGTATATTCTTTTTCTTAAAGTATTAACTTGTCATTTTAGAGCCCCAGTTACAAAATAAGGATTAATCACAGCACTCCGTGTATTTCATGGACCCTGCTGAGAAGAAAAGTGCTTTTATAAATTCTAGTGTTTTGTTTTAGATGTATATATATCTTAACAACCATACACAGTTTTTCATGTTCTCAATTTTCTGTGCAGTAGTAAAACTCCTGTTCCCCAGCACATCTTGATGGCAGTTGCCCAAAAGATTCTTGTTTTGTCTTGTAAGCTGTATCAGGCTTAACGATGGTTAGTTGTTTGTAGTCATTCTTCATTTCAATCTGGGCTTCTGATGTTTTAAGTTAAAAAAATAGACTCTGTGCTAATTCTCTAGTCATATGAGGAGGCTCATTTCTGATGATTGCTTAATCTTCATCCCCCAAAGAATCTTTCACCGTAAGAAAAAGTCAAAAGGCATTCCACACCAACTTGTCAGAGCATGTCTCCTTTGCTTTGCTCCTTTTTTTTTTTTTTTCTTTTGCTCTTGAAATCTTCTGGCATGAGTGAAGCCTGGAAAGCAGCAGGATTTGAGATGAAAATGTGGTAGTTGTCAACATACCTTCTGTGGATGCATTTCTAGCCTCAAAATGATGTGGAGCTAGAATGCGGTCTGGCTTTCTCACCTTAATTTAGAGTCTCAAGTTCAGACTAAATGGCACCATTTCACATTGTATTGCATCACATTGTGGGAGAATCATTTCCTTTGGGGTAGAACTATCAAACCTAGGAACAGCTTACTGTGCAAGAACAATGGGAGAAGACATTTTGCTAGAACATGAGCAACTGAGCCTCTTGTTTTTAAAAACGTCATTAGGAAATCCCTCTCCTTTTTTTTTTTTTTAATCTTAATAGATCAAATTCCTGATAGAAAAGAATTGGAAGTTTTGTTTTTCTTTGTTTTAAATGTAACTCCCACAAGGAGTTACCAAGTGGAATTTATCCTTTGTGTGAGAAGGATAAAGTCACTAGCAGAACAATGAGGGGACAGAGATAGGTCTTGAACATGCTGTCTAGATTATTGAAGCAAAAGAATGTCATTTTCAGCATGATTCAGCAGACCAACTATATGAACAAGAGGCGTACGCCATGGTGGTTAAGAGCACAGACTAGGCTTGAATCTTGACTCTACTGACTGGCTGTGTGACAGCAGGTCAGTTATTTCATCCCTCTGTGCCTTAGTTTTCTTATCTGTAAAATGGGGATAATACCACCACCACTACTCATACCTACTTCAGAGGATTATTACAATAATTAATGAGTTAGTATTTATAAAGTGCTTAGAATGGTACCTTGGCACATATGATGTGTCAGCTGCTATGATCACCACCGAGGTAGGATCTTTTTATTATAAAGACTGAAAGATGGCTTTTCTGTAAATATGCTGGAAGTTCCTTTAGGTCTTGACTTCCTATCTTATGGTTTTAAGTTAATACCAATATTTCTTCTGTTTTACTAAATGGAGACCCAATTCCACCTGAAAAGCTCAATACTAATCACTATCTAAAAGCCTGAATTTGTAAGTAATATGCTATATTGGGAAAGTAGTTTTCAAGACTTGCTTGATGCTTAAAGCTAACTGATAAATTGGAGAACAAACAGGAATATCCAATAGTTGAAATACAGTATTTTTTGGATCATAGTAAGTGTGGGTTGTAATTATTATATACACACCAGTTTGTAACTCTCTGTGTGTGATTATTTGGTCAGTCCTTGGACTTTAAACTCCACAAGGATAGGTACCGAGTTTTGCTTACCATTAAATTTCAGCTACCAGCATCTGATATATAGCAGGCATTCAAAAGTAGTTGTCGAATGAATGAATGTATGCATGGCTTCATAATTAAAAAATGATACTTTGAAAGTCATTGTGTTTATATAATAGACTTTTAAGAAATCCACATGTAGTTAATAGGGTTCTTCATACTGTTCATATTTCTATTAAGAAAATAGAAGGCTGACAGAGAAAGTGAAGTACAGAGAAATTCAGTAATTTAGCAAAGAGGTGGGTTTGAGGATGACCTTCCAGTCTCCTGAGTCCCAGTCTGGGTCTGTCGTCACTAAGATGAAAAGGAGAATCAAGAAATGCCACCTTCTTTCCCTCCTTAATCTTTTCCTTGCTTCTCCCCTGTCATCGTTCCAGGACTTGCATCCTATAGATGCAGAAGGGAGAAAGGAGAAACTCTTGAGACATTTGGTAGTACTCTCCTTCTGGAGGGAAAGTAAACATCAAAGCCCAGAGTTGCTACATACCCATGACGCACAGCCCTGTCTCCCAGGGCCCAGGGCCCAGGTCCTCGTGACGGTTCCTGACATTCTGATAGAGTATGCTGCTGACTCCCAGGCAGGTGTCTCAAACATCAAAGGTTTGGTATCAGCAACGACAATTTAAAATGAATGTGGCATCTTGCTGAAAAATTACCATATAGGCAAATGGATAACTTTTTATTTAGCTCCTGAAAATACTGTACACAGAAAGGCATTCTTAACCATCTGGAAACTATTTTGAGGAAATTAAAGTTTGGAGCTCAACTATATCAATGATTCCCTCTTGCCTTTATTATTATTATTATTTCCCTGTTGCCTTGCCCTTAAATCAGATCCTAAAACTTGTTTCCTATAAAATAGCTCCCAACAAATTTGTAAGTCAGACTCTTTGCCCTCTCTCCTCTTTGACTTTCAGACATTCTTCTGGTTCTATTCCAAGTTACGTATACGTCTCGCAGACATAAATGTTCTTTCTTTCTTTCTTTCTTTCTTTCTTTCTTTCTTTCTTTCTTTCTCTCTCTCTCTCTCTCTTTCTTTCTTTCTTTTTTTTTGCTACTCTTAGCACATGTGGAGATGATTTAGAATGAGGATTCTTTGGACACCTTCCTTTTTAGAAAATCCAAATCCTATGGAATTAGTGAGAGGTTTTCCTGTCTCCTTAAAGTGTAAACCAGAAGCATAATGAAATAACATTTTAAAAAAATCAAATTAGGCCATTAGAGCAATGCTCTGCCTCACTGAGATGAGAATTTCATGTTAGACAATTTACAGTCATCACTATTATGCCATGCACAACTATACCCCATTTGGTTATGTCAGATGGAGTAATTATCTGTTGGACTTGTTTGGCTCTCTTGTTTCAGTTTGGCCTCTGTGCTGGATTAAGTTTCCGCAAAACCATGATTAATTAAATGCTTCAGGAATGAGGACTTGTGTTTCATTTAATTTTTTGGTTAGCTGAAGTTTAACCGGAAAACTCTTGGCTTTAATCTTGGCTTAAAAACCTTCTAAAATCATTTCATTTTCTTGCATCAAAAGGATAGCACAGTGGACGAGTCTGTCTTTGGTAGTTAAGAACATTATGAGTCCCTTGGGGTCATTTTCTGACTATTAGAAAATGTTACAGATGGAGGGGAAGTTGGGAGGTTGAAATGAATATGGAAACTAATAGAAACTGGCATCAAATAGCCAGTTGTCTCTGTTTTTAAAAAGTGGTTGATAAACTAGTATTTATTGAGTAGCAACCTGCTACTTGCCAGGCCTGAGACTCTCCACTTGAGGAGCCCAATTCTGTGCGAGGAGAAGGGGATATGTTTACAAATAATGACTGCACAGTGTAATAAGGGCTTAAGAAGGTTTGCAGCGGGTGCTATGGTAGCTCACAGCAGCGAACTACCAATGGCCTGAGGAAGTCAAAGGCCTCACTGTGGGGAAGACGATGGTCTGGGTCTTGACACATGCATAGGAGCTAAGTGGAGAAGAGGAGGTAGGGCATCCTCCAAGGGAGTAGGCCAAGGGAGCAGACCTTGAATTACACAAAGATGGGAACAAGAATTATCTGTCCTGGGACATGATGTTTATGCCCGTGTGTCAGGACAGGGAGAGATTGCTGGCAGATGAGTCTGGACAACAGGCGGGGGCAGACTATAAAGGGCCATTTATAGAGTTCAAGTGATATTTTATAAGTAACATTTAACAATGGAGTTAAACAATCTGATTTGTGTTCCAGAAAGATTACTCTGGCAATGGTGGGAAAGATGCATTAGAAGGAGGAAGAGACCATCTTGATGAACTAGTCAGTATTTCAAAAAATCATTTACTGTTTTAGTGTTTTATGGGCCTGAATTATAGTTTGAAACATTATTTTGCTTTTAAGTAGGAACACCTTTCTGTTTTCTTCTCTCATACAGGTTCCGTATTATTATTATCTTAACTTTGAATATTGGGAAACTGAGGCACAATGGCCATGTCACTTCCCCAAGGTTCTGAATGGAATCCATTGAGAAACTGACTCAACGCCAGGTCTCAAAGTTTCTTCCAGCAATTGCTAGACCACACTCCCCACTATTACAGCATATTTATGATATAATTAACTTTCGGAAAGCCATATGGCTTTTGTTACAAAGACTAAAGGAATGTGCTTTTCATAACGAATGGCATATGGCCTCCAATAGCTCTTTGCTTGCATGTTTTAACAAAATGAACATGTATATAAATTAGATGCCTCAGGTCAGTTAGCAAACTGAGGTTGATTTTCTTCTGCTCTCCCTAATTACAGCTGCATTTCTGACAAATATCAAGGAGGGTTTTGGCAGCCTGTGGGTGTACACCTACATAGCGTGGGTCACATAATCCTTTTCTCCTATGGTGTTGTCCCTTTAAAGAGTCAGTGTTTGTCTTATATTCACAGAGGAATGTGCTGCTCGCAGAAACGGGGGCATTTCTGATGAAGCTGCCTGCTTTCTGAATGGGGCGGGGACGCTAGTTGATTTAAATGATACAATGGACAGAAGGAACAACCAAGTAAGAACCACTGAGCTGAAAGCCGGCATTTACCTTTGGCCATTTAAGTGATGTGGGGCTGATAGATAACATGATAGATGCTCACATGCTGAACTAATTTAAAGCAGCTAATCGTGAGGGCTCACACTTAATCTCTCAGTTGTTTAGAAGCCTTTCTATTTTAAGTAACATGCCTTAAAGTTCTGCTCTCTTAGTTCACACTGTGTCTCATCTTATTGTTGATTTAGCAGGTTTTCTGGTACAGTCTGAGAATGAGCTCCTTGCAACTTTCACATTATCATATTACAATATTCACCACTGATTATTTGTACTCAAGGTCAATGACATTATCTCATTGGAATTCCCTGGACTCTGAATTCATAAGATAGTCCAAAATGCTCTTGTCTGTAATGGAAAAATACAGCACAATTACTGTAAGTCAGTTGGTTCATAAAGGATCTGCATTTTAAATGTAGCTACTCATCATATTGGCAAATCGCTTGCTTTTTTTTTTTAAATGTGCGTGTTTATGTTATAGTAATAATACAATTTTTTGTTAATTAAGTGAATGTATATCGATCATAAAAGGAAATTTAAAATATAAGCGTTTCTTAAGTAACTGAAGCAAATAAGTAAAAATACATTTTAATTAATATTAAAATATTTAAACCCTTCTATACAAAAGCTTAATTTCCTAAGAGCAAAACCCACATAGTTTAGGATAATTTTTTCATGAAGGATAAACCAATTGTCTTAAATAGAAATTAAACTTTAGGGGCGCCTGGGTGGCTCAGTCATTAAGTGTCTGCCTTCGGCTCAGGTCATGATCCCAGGGTCCTGGGATCGAGCCCCGCATCGGGCTCTCTGCTCTGCCGGGAGCCTGCTTCTCCCTCTCCCACTCCCCCTGCTTGCGTTCTCTCTCTCTCTGTGTCTCTCTCTGTCAAATAAATAAATAAAATCTTTAAAAAAAAAAAAAAGAAATTAAACTTTAGGTCTCTCTTTTTCCCATCTAAAATGATTCCTTCAAATCCTGTTCATACAAAAGGAAAGTGTTTGCAAACTTGTGTTTTAATTCCTCTTATATTTACTATAATCTGTATTCCTTTTTTGGACAAGTCATAGCTTCTCCTTTTATAAAATAATATCTTCCATTATGTTATAATTACAAACTGTGGATTCATAGAATCAATGAGTCATAGGGTTGCATAGAATAAGTCTTCAACAATCATCTCTGCCTCCGGGGCATCTCTACACCATGAATTGAATAACAAGGTGAGTAAGAGCCAGAAATATGGCTTTGGCTAGATGAAGAAAAAAGGTAATCCTGGGAACTCTTTTACTCTTTAGCAAAAATATTTCTTCCTTCCTTCCTTTTTTTTTTTCAAAGTGTACTCAGCCCAAACTGATATTATTAGATTAATAAGTCCACCAAATACCTTGTGTGTGAAAGTGTGGAATCATTTAGACTTACTTCATATTTGAGAATTGAATACTAGGATCTGTAAGATTCCAGATAGTGGTGTTTGAGAATGAAAGGTTCTGCCCCTATCTATTTAACCATCATTTATTACAGGACTACAAACTATAAAAAAACAGTATGAAGGCACAAGATTTGGAAACAAATTGTTGCTACATAATCTATAGGAAGCTGAGAAACAATCTGGAAGAGAAAGTAATTAGGGGAACATTTATGTACTAACAAAAGTCAGTTAGAAGTTGGAAGAAAATGTTATTTTCTTAACTGTCATGACTCACTCATGTTAAGTCCACTCTCATCTTGCTTAGAGGCTCTGTGGCAGTTGGAGATCGTTGTATTAGAGAACGTGCTTCAAGATGCTGAGCCAGTGTGGCTTTCTGTGTGGAGAAGCTCAAGACTGAACAAACGTGGACACAAAACGAGAGACCTGGCGTCTCTTTTGCTTACACCCATGGTGCTGGCAACACGGGCAAGTGTCATAGTGCCAGGAAGCTCCATAGCCACCAATGAGATCAGACGTGGCCTGATAAACAGTACAAGAGAGCCCATTTGGGCACAGCCCTGAAGGCCAACCCTTTTGGAGGCACTTCCTTTGCAAAGGGGATTGTGCTGGGAAAAGAAGGGCTTGAAGCCCAACAGCCAAATTCTGCCCTCAGGAAGTATATCAGGGTCTAGCTGATCAAAAATGGTGAAAGAAAAAAATCACAGCCTTTGTACCCAATGATGGTTGTTTGAATTTTATTGAGGAAAATGATTAAGTTCTGGTTGCTGGATTTGGGCAAAAAGGTCATGCTGTCAGTGACATTCTTGGAGTTCACTTTAAGGTTGTTAAAGTAGCCAGTGTGTCTCTTTTGACCTTATATAAAGACAAGAAGGAAAGACCAACAGCATTAAGTTTTGATGGTGAAGCTGTGACAGTAATAAATTTTCATATGCCTACCCCCGCAAATGAGAGACCTGGCTCATTAGAATTACTTTGAATACCTGTGTTAATTTGAATTTTATATTCTAAAAATGTTATGATAGGCAAAGACGGAAACCACTTGTTTCTCCAGATTTTCAAATCCTGTGCCAAATTATGTCAACAAACAAATGTGGTTATAATACAAATGGGGGAAATGGCAAGACCAACCGCAGTTGCCTTCAAAGGAAAATGGACCTTGTCCCTTGAAGATTTGTTTTGTTCTGCTGAGGACCATATTGGGTCTGAATATTTTCAGGTGGTCTTAGTATGAATTTTTTGAAGGTTGAGCATGCAGAGAGCCGAGCTGGGGTTGGGAAGATAGAGGAAAGGCGGGGGTGGGGGGGTTGGGGGGGGCGGGTAGAGAGTAGCCAGGGAAGGAGTTGTGACTCTGGAGAGCCACAGAGGATAAAGGTGGTGAGTGGAAATTCCCGGGTATTGGGGTGATTGAAGGATTTGTAAGAGCAAGAAGGTTTAGTATTTGATGAGATTGTTTCTATTTCTGCAGTTGTAAACTATCCCAACTCCTCAGCCTTTAGTAAAATCTGCCATAAGCATTCATGCTTTGTGGACTTCCTTTTGTTTTTGGATTGAAAGTAACAGGAAAGACCTCCTTCCATATAGGGTAGAATAGGGTGAGCACAAACAAGTAGAACCATAACAAGAACAAATTAGGTAGAAGCAGGCATTCAGAGGCAAAGCAGCCTTGCACACATACCAGCAACACCTTCCTTCATCCCCCCAAATGTGTAGAACTTTTGGAAAGGACTTTGGTCTTCTACAGCCCAGGGGATGTTTGAATCAAGGAGGAAGTAGATTCCAGCTGATATTTGGGTTACATTAATACAGTCTGAAATTATAATAATTTATTAAGGGAGGAAGTAGAGGTGGAAAATTTTGATCTCTTGGGCTTCACTTTCTATCATAGTCTTACTTATTTGTAGCACATGATACTGTTGGCATTTTCTTCTACAAACGTACCAGGCATTTAGCATTGATTTTGATTTTTTAAGTCAATTTGAGCTAGTCAGTTATGCATCTGGTAAACCAAAAGATATTGCTGAAATCTGCGGCAACCATTTTGAAACTATTTTCTGCACTTGCATTTATTGGAAGTGTAATTATAGGTTGCCTTGCTTTGTAGCATTCCCCATGGCATGCAGGGGAATTTGTTTGTATGTGGAAACCTTTATAGGAAATAGTGTTGTTGTATGAGGCTTGAAGACTTGTATCTACATGTTTGAAGATGCCCACATTTTTTTTGGCTTATCATCACTTGTAAATAATGGCCATGGGGTATAGTGAAAAACTATCAATGACCCACTGCTTGAACTTCCCTTTTAAAAAGGGCAAATTTCACATCTGTCTAACATGAAGATGAATCTAAAGTTTAACTTGTTTACGGTAAGTTAAAGTTGTTGTCTACAGACCTCCATTATGCTGCATTGTTAGAGGCAAAATTGTCGATAATTGGAAGAGAGAGAGAGAGAGAGATGGGCAGATGAAGAAAAGCAGAGATGTTTTAAGATATGGCATGGGTAGCACGCCTAATTCCTTTGTTGGGGAAGTCTCTCATACTGTTTTTAACAGATATGCCTTGCTCTGCCATATCTTGATGGTCAAATAGGGTCTTCAAGGAAAATTTATGTGATGGAGCAACTCCTATATGGTATATCTCAGTATTCGAGAAACTTCCAGAAAACACTGAAGTGTACAAGCAGAACAAGTGCCTTGACTGCTTATCTACATTTAGCCATAACTATGCTATTCTAATGGTTATGGGAAAGGAGGAGGGCCAAGTTCTTGTCTCACTTTGAATCTAGTCAAATCCTTACATGCTATGAAGCTTCAGGGCAAAGTTTAATTTTCCCAAGACTCATAGAACCTACTGTTTAGTGATACAAAGTTATGTTTCTGCTTAAAAAAAGAGGACACAGTTGAACTGATTTCATGAAAGTCTAAAATGGAAGCCAAATATTAGGAGATTTTAATCCAAACAAAATATAACTCATAAAAACCTGAATATTGTTATTAAATTTGGAAACTCCATCTCCCATTGCTTTTCTTTTTCTTTTTCTTTTCTTTTTTTTTTTTTTTTAAGATTTTTATTTTATTTATTTGTCAGAGAGAGAGTGAGAAAGCACAAGCAGGGGGAGCAGCAGGCAGAGGGAGAAGCAGGCAGAGGGAGAAACTGGGAGAGGGAGAAGCAGGCTCCCCGTTGAGCAAGGAGCCCGATCCCAGGACCCTGGGATCATGACCTGAGCCAAAGCAGATGCTTAACTGACTGAGCCACCCAGGCATCCCTCCCATTGCTTTACAAGGTAAGTCTAGGATTGTTTAGACCACATAAAGTCACCTTGTTCCAGAGTTTGGAGACCACCTCATTATGTGACTTCTAAGATCCTAAGTATGTTCTCAAAATTCTGTTCCCATCTCATGTTCTCCAACTTTCATTAATAGAGGTGTGTATCTGTGTGTGTGTGTGCTATTTTATTCTTGCCCTTACTGAATTTCATCTTTCTAAATTGGGCCTATTTCCCATCAGCATTTGGGAGCATTCTCATTTCTGCCAGCTTATTATTTAATCCTCCCAGACTGTCAACATTCACAAAATAGCAAGTGTACCCTGTACAAATGTAATCCTTTGTGATGGTGATGAAAGTGCAATAAGCAAATCATATAGCATGGCACTGGTGCCTGCCCTCTAGGCTGATATGGGTCTGTTAATCATCACTCTGTGGGCACAGTTGTTTAACCAGTTTAGAAATTATTTATTCAAGAAATATTTATTGAGAGTTCCCTCTGAGCCATGTTTCATGCTGCATGGTGGAAACGATGAATGATCCTGTTCCTGACCTTCAAGCACCTCAACAGGATAAAAGGCATGGGAATGAAGAGCTGGTATGAAGTGTGATAATGCCAGAGATATACATTAGGCAAAGGACTAAAATCCTGCCTGGCACTTTCTGAAAGAATAAACTGAAGAGTAAATTGGTGCAGCCACTGTGGAAAACAGTATGGAGGTTCCTCAAAAAATTGAAAATAGAAATACCATATGATCCAGTAATTCTACTACTAGGTATTGACCCCCCAAAATGAAAATACTAATTGGAAAAGATATATGCACCCCTATGTTTACTGCAGCATTATTTACAATAGTCAAGGTATGGAAGCAGCCTAAGTGCCCATTGATAGGTGAATGGATAAAGATGTAGTATAGATATATACACACATACGTGCAATGGAATAATATATGTTATTGCAAATGAAATATATATATAAAATGGAATATTATACAGCCATATAAAAGAAAGGATGGGATATTGCCCTTTGTGACAACATGGATGGACCTAGGGGGTATAATGCTACATGAGATAAGTCAGACTGGAAAGAAAAATACCGTATGTTTTCACTCATATGTGGAATATAAAAAACGAAATAAATGAATAAACAAACAAAAACCAGAATTGGACCTATAAATACAGAGAACAAACTGATGGTTGGCAAAGGGAAGGGGGATGATGGGCAAAATGGGGGAAGGGGAGAGGGAGATATAGGCTTCTAGGTATGAATTAATAAGTCATGGGAATAAAAGGTACAGCATAGGGAAATTAGTCAATGATATTGTAATAGTGTTGGATGGTGACAGATGGTAATGACGTTCGTGGTGAGCATAACATAACATATAGAGATATTGTTTCACTATGCTGTACACCTGAAACTAATGTAACACTGTGTGTCACCTATATTCCAATAAAAAAATTTTTTAAAGAATAAACTGGGGAGAGTAAGAAATTTTTGTATTTGTTCAAAATGTATTTAATTTGTTCTGTAAATTTTAGAAACATTTCATCAAATTACCATGGAAATCCTGTCAGAATGTTGACTATAATTGCACTGATGCTTTAACTTTATAAATTCAATATTCTTATCTAAAACCATGACATATCTCTCACTTAATTCCCATATATTTTTAAAAAGATGATTTGTAAGTACTTTGTTTTTTGTTGTTCTTGAGAATAGGAGTCTTTTCATACTTTATAAATGTGTGTGTGTGTTACCAAGAAAGCTATGGGTCTTGATTCATTGTTTATACTAGTTTTTCAGTTGCCTCAATGGAGTTTTCTAAATCAAAGTCATTAAGTGTGGATAATGATAATTTAATCCCTTTTAAAGAATGTCCTATTTGTGAATTTCATCATACTTTCTTTTTGAATATTGTAATGTAAAACATTTGACATTAGTCACATTCCCTTGCATTTCCAACACCCACAGTCCAGCTTCCCAGGATACCAGCAGACTTACATTTCAGCAGGAAGTAGATACAGGCAGTTTTGTATCTACTCACATCCTATGGAAATACAACTTTCTCCTTTTCCAAGATGCGCTCACTGCTTAGTGATATCATGGATGTTGTTGCCATCTTACTTTTTCCTTAAAATATATATATATATAGTACACAT